AAAAAAAAAAAACAAAAAAAAAAAACAAAAAAAAAAAACGCAACTTTATTCAGCTGCGTGTCCAGCTCATATGGTGTACTATTCTTTCACCTTTTACTAAAGAATACCGTGGGTGGAGCACACTGAGCAGCTTGGCCACCCACTGAGCAGCTTCGCTCCGCCGAAGGGCTAAAAAAAAAAAACGCAACTTCCTGCCGGAGGCACAGCTACTGGCAGGTCTCGGTCTTTGTGTTAGCCAGACCCCCACTGGCGGCCCCAACCCTATACCCTAACCATTAGGGGCAAGGGGCAACATGAAATCTCCCCTTCACAAAGAGAGGAAAACTATGCTTGCAGGGGTCCCCTCTAGATAGTCTTAGGAGTAGGTAGTGGAAGGCAAACAAAACAGAAGTTGAGAGAAGAATATAGACAGTTGTGATCACCCCGAAAAAATAAAAATAAAAAAAATGCTAAGTTCGGTTTCCAGCGGGACAGTCATACAGCATCTGTAGGATCTTTGGCGTCATGCACAGCAGAATGCCTGTGTGTAACGGGTTTGTCCGTAGTGACGGAGTCCCTTCCGCCCCAAGGTCAGTTCCGTACCTGCTTGCGCTTCCCTTTTGCCCTCCTCCTCCGTTTCTCCCCCGATTCCTGCATGCGAATAGTCCTCCGCAAGAATAGTCAGGCTTACACCAATTTTTCACAGCCCTTCGCTCCGCCGAAAGGCTAAAAAAAAAACGCGACTTCGTGCCTGAGACAGTCCAAAAATGCTAAGTTCGGTTTCCAGCGGGACAGTCATACAGCGTCTGTACGATCTTTGGCGTCATGCACAGCAGAATGCCTGTGTGTAACGGGTTTCAAGTTGTCCGGAGTCCCTTCCGCCCCCAGGTCAGTTCCGTACCTGCTTGAAACCTCCGTTTCTCCCCTGATTCCCGAATGCGAATAGTCCTCCACAAGAATAGTCAGGGCGGCCGCAAGAATAGACGCACATTCCGCTGCCCTCCACGTGGTTTCGGGCCTCCCCCTACTTCCTGGTTTCCCTGCTCCCACCGCACCCAGTCTTTCAAGTTGTCCACTTTCATTGGTGCATCCCACCTGGTCTGTCCACCACATGTGACACAGGTTGGAGAAGCAGGAAGATCAACATCCTGGTGCTGAGATTACGCCGTCAAGGAAACGGCTCTTGCCATAGCCGCCGTCCAGTTCGTGTCGTTCAATGACAGGCATGACCGTTTTTATCTTGCTGCGGATGTGCCATGCACCTGTGGGCGCACATTGTCGCCATACTCCCATTCGCCGCCGAGGGAGGAGACATCAATGCCAATTGGCAGAAGTTTTGCGTTTTTTTTTTTTTTTTTTTTTTTTKTGTGTGTGTGTGTGTGTTYTTKTTTKTTGCCATACATGTCTCAAGCCAACACGCTGCATTCCGTGTGGAGTGTGAGGTTCGTGGCGACGAGACCAAGTGCAGGCGTGTGTCTATGTTGGACATGCGCGTTGTCATCTTCGAAAATCAAACAACTTGAAACAAGAATCCTTTTTTTTTTCTCGTTTATTTCCCCCCCCTCCTCAATTCGGTTTCAGCGGGAATGACAAAGTCTTCATACCTAAGTGAAGATGCCGTTTTAGGCGTTGCTGGGAATATTTTGGGTCCTGCAAGAAAAAGAAAGGAGAGTTCTTGGAGAGAGCAAAAAATGGAGAGAGAGTAGATGGAGTGATGAGTCAACGAAGAAAGCAGTTGTGAAAAAAAAAAGTTGTGTTCCACAGTCCTAGCTTGAGGAATTATAAACAGAGAACGGGCTCGTCAAAAAATAAATGAAAAAAAATGGAAACAATAGGGGAGGCGGCAGGTTTTGATTTTGAAAAGGCCCAAAAAAAACAGGGGGTTACTTTTGGAAAAGTCATGGATTCATTATGGCTGAACGCACTGCTGAGCCCTACTTTAAAGACACGGGGGGGGGGGGGGGGGGGGGTCTCCTTTCCCGAGTCAGCTCCTTAAACCACACGCTGCAAAATATGCGGATTTGGGAAGGGCCGATTTGAGGTTTTGGGCATGGTTCATGTCACGCTGGTGTAGCTTTTCAAATGGGACAAGATCGCAGCCGCCTGGAGAAATGGGGATTTGGTACTTGGCTGGTCACACAGCGCCATCCACAAATTGTGCAAGAACTTTTGTGAAGAATTTTTGCCAATTTTTGAAGAAAATGTAAAAAGAAAAAAAGGCAAATCTCTTGCCCCACGGCTTCCCAGGCCGCTGACAAATGGGCACAGGAATCGTACTTTTGCGAATTTGGTAGATTCGTGTGACTGCCCTTTTCCCCTTTTGGGGGGGATTTTGGGAATATAGGTCCCCGTGTGAGTATGCCCTTACTTGGCCCAGCTATAGATGCCGACCCTGAAAACGGCCTGCCGCTTCGCCAGCACAACAAAAAACGGAAAAAACTTGTTTTGGCTAGCGGCGCCGATGTATGGGCCAAGTACTGGTGGTTTAAATACGGCTCATTGCATAGCACCACGTTTTCAGTGTAGTTCAAAAACATGTAGCTATAAAGACGGCTCATTGCATAGCACCACGTAAACTTTCCAGTCTAGTTGCAAAACATGTCCAGTATTTACCATTCTTGAAAAAAAAAAAAAAAAAAAAAAAAAGTGTCCAGTATTTACCAGTCGTAGCGGGGCACTACTTTCATAAGTTTGTCGAAGAATGTGGCAATGCCATGTGGAGCCCTGGAAGGAGATCCCACTACGATGTATTTGGATTAGTAAGACGTGTGTGGTACGGGTGGGGGACGGGTGGGGGACGGGTGGGGGACGGGTGGGTGGCAGAGTAAAATAGGTAAAATAAAAACGAAAAACCATATCTTGACAAAACAAACGAAGAGAGAAATGCGAAAAAAGAGAAGGAAGTGCTCTGCCCACGGATCCTGTCTCAACACCCATCCCGCCCGTGCACTAACGTCTGGAGTTGAAGGCGCACAGTTCGTCGTTTCCTGATCCCACACACCAATCCGCCGACGATCCATACCCCACCGCTGCCTTCCGGACGAACCCACGAGTCAACTGCCCTCATCTCCATCGTTGTCCGTCGCGGCCCGGGCCTGCTGCCAATCCAGCCATGTTTTGCAGCTTCCGCTGCATTCTTCAGGGCCGCGTTGTGCCCAAACACCAATCTGCAATCAGACCATTCCAGAATGCAAAGCGGGTAATCTCCCAGCGTCAGGTGCGCCTTCCCTAGACGATCCAAGACGAGGTTGGCGGTGTCGACGATGTGTCGCCGCCAGTTGAAGATGTAGGACCCCGCCGCTATCATTGTGGGTTTGGCGACCATGGACGCGTAGAACCACGCCTCGTAGTGCGAACGGTCGTCGTCACCACCCATGTGCATTATCCACGTGCATGCGTTGAACAACGCTCGAAGACAATCCCGCGACAACCTCTCCTGTTTCATGCGCCCGCTGTCCGCCCATTGTCCGCACCAGACTACATATGTCCAGCAGTCCGCCCGGCGAAGAACTGTCGCCTCCTGCCGCGCCGCCATGTCGTCGTCTTCCAGACGGTCCACAATCTTCACCCCCACGAACCACGGAGGCACGTCCATCTTCATCGCCAGCGTGTGGTAGGCGAGGGCAGGGGAAAGCACTTTGGACCATTCAAATCTTTGCCAAACTGCTCGTGCGACGTTTGTAGTGAGGTCGAGGGTGATGTACGACTCTGCACGAGCGAAGCCAGTCCGCCTCAACGACGATTTGAAGATCCAGCCGTGGATGGTGCACAACACTAGTTTCTCCACGCTGCGCGCTCTGTACAGAGCTGGTTCACACTGCGCAGGGTCCTCGATCTTGAAGCGCGGCACATCATTCGACGGCATTACGAGCATCGAAGGCGGTTCAGCTCCTGCGTCTCCGTTAGTGATGGCGATGAACTAGTCCGCGCAGTCACCTACCACCTCCCTCAAGGGTTTCCCCGGGCCCCGACCCCAGAAAGCGTCGCGATCAACCCATAACTTCGACCTCACTTCGAGATCATCCTCCTTTGTCGCTCCCTTCAACCTCGTAACAAGTAGATGGTCGTCATCGTCATCGCCCTCCCACTTTCCATCTCTTCTCCCATAGTCGCGGCGGACGTCGTCGACCCTTCCCTCTTCTGCACCTTCGGCGAGTCCGCTTGTAGTGGTGTGATCTGCCGCCGTCGTCCGACTGTCGCTCGCCACCTCCTCACCCTTTTGCGCGGACGGTGTTTTCCCTCCCCCTGAAGCCCCCGCGTGTTGCAAGGGGAGTGGATGACGTGCCTGACCCTGGCCTACCACTGCCGGAAGTTGCCTCGACACGCGCGCCTCCATGACGACAACCCCTGCTGCCTTCGGGTTCCTTGGCAATGCCCCAGCAGCACCAACAACGACGCTCTGTTTCATAGCGGACAACTGGAATATATACCTTTATCATTTGTAGCGATTATATGGTCTTAATATATGGATCAAATACATTTCGTCCCACATATCATTTCGTCCCACATATATCGTATCGATGAGATATATATCGATCGCACTACGATGGCTTACTATCTATAGATAGATGCCAATTGGAGTATGTATTGTATTTGTATTGTATATAGATTGTTCCCTCAAAACCCCATCCCACCCAAGACCCAATCGCATCGCCCGTGCCGTCCCTTACGCATCCACCATCACCACTTCGTCTGCCTGAAAGTCGTCAATGTGTTCGGAGCTCGCCTCATCAACGAGCTGCCTTTTCGACTTTGGCACGTGACCTCTCCCTTTTCGGGTTTCCCCCCCTTCCCCTACACCACTACCTTTCCTGCCCTTCCCTGACGCGCTCCTCGGGGCCATCTCGGCCGCAACTCGGAAACAAGGAACACGTGAACGAAGGAGGACGTGGATGAAGGAGCACGTGGACGAAGGCCGAGTGGAAGTCGACGACGGGCACGTGGACGAAGGAGCACGTTGATGATGCGCATGAACGGGCACTGCCCGCGGAGCCGCGACAATGATGGCGACCGAAAAAGAGCACATGGACGAGGGAGGACATCGAAGAAGGAGCACGTGGACGAAGGAGCACGTCGACGAAGGAGCACATGGACGAAGGACGCGTGGAGGTCGACGATGGGCACGTGGACGAAGGAGCACGTGGATGTTGCGCATCAAGGGGCAGTGGCCGCGGACCCGCGACAATGATGGTGACCACAAAGGAGGATGTGCTCGATGCGCATATAGGGGCACTGCCCGCGGAGCCGGAAGCGGAAGCGTGGAGCGGCGAAGCGGATGTGCAGGCGTGCGATGACGACTCAGTCCGCGGGCGGTACCATTGAAGTCGTGGGAATTAAGTCACTGCGGTACGGAATGGCGCCTGGACTCTCCTTTTGTACATAGCGCGCTCTCGCAGTACACCATGGACACGCCTCGCCGTCCACAACAGCCCGCCCCTTCGCAGATCGTGCACGAACCATTTTCCCCGCCGGCTGCTGGTGATCCCTCGCATGGCCAACAACGCATGTGGGCATAGGAGGACCGTGGTGGAGGTCGAACAAGCCCGCCACCCCCAAAAACTCGAGGCACCCCTGTACGCCATTTTCCCCTCCCGCACGAAAAACACACCCTGCCACCTATCCCTTCTCCGACACCCCCAAAGAAGACCCTGGTAGATCGCCATCCATGCGTGGCGGCAACGCCTCACAACACCAGCCGTTAAACAAAATACAAAATCGGAAGACCTACTGTACAACCGAAGGACGTGCCGCAGGGCATGACAGCAATGATTACCCTTCACAGACATCAAAAAATCCCACGCTCAAATAAACTGTGCGGGCAAAATCGACCCGCCGTCTGTACACCACCTGCGCATCACCGCACTGCAGCACGCAGGACGACGGCAACGACGATACTCCGGAAGTGCACACGTGGCATTCACGTAGACGTCGGACATGTGTGGTCGAGCGACGTTAGGATCGTTCGAGGATCGCTTTAGCAATCTCCAGAAGGACGTTGCACATCATGAAGTTCGCCTGATCGGCCTTCACGTAGTGCTCCTTCTGCACTTCCAACTCTCGCTCGAGAATGTCGCATTGCCTCGTCAGAATTGAGCACTGCCTCTTGCTCGCGCTGTCCACCGTCATCGCCATCAGATTCTCGTGATCCTTCATGACGTCCGCAATCATGTTGAAGGTCTGTTGCCTTACATTCTTCCGTTTGCCGCCCCCACACCCGCCACCACCGCTGAACGTTGAATCCCTCGTCGATCCCTGATCGTCGTCCTGTCCATCCCCGCATCCCTCACTACCGTCGGATTCATTCCGACCTCCATGCGGGCCGGCCATTTGAACACCTCCAGCCGCACCAGTGTCCGCGAGATTCGTGGGGTGTATAGTGTGATCGCCCCTGGACATGGCCGTCATCTCCAAATACACACGCTCATCCATCCGAAAGTCGAACCCTAGCTCCTTCCTCTCCCCCGGCGTTAGTGTGAAGAAATTAGGCTTCCTCGATTCTCCCATGAACTTGTGCACGGTTTTGAACTTCTGGTATAGGTTGTCCCATTTTTTCCCGCAGTCCACTGCCTTTTTACTCGTCACCCCCATCTGCACGAGCCTCTTGTCGACGCCGTCCCACTTCCATGTCTTTGTCTTCATCCTTCCGCTGTTGTGCCCCACGCCGGCCAGATGCAAATCCTGGTCTCTTTTAGCTCGGATCAGAGCAATCATGTGCTCCACGGTCCAAAAATCCCTGCTTTTTGCTCCCTCGCCTGCCGATGTATCTTCCACACCCTTCTTGCTCTCCGCCCCGAGTGCGGTTCTGTAAACCTGTTTGTGGCCCTTGACCCTCCCCGCTACCTCCCTACTGGACGAATCTCCATCTCCCCGTCGTTGTCCTCATCGTTGTCATTGGCGTCGTTGTCTGCCGCGCAATCTTCGCCCCCTCCATCGCAATCGCCGAATTTATCGTCCACCCCCACATTAATCTTCGCCACCCCTCTCGTTATGCCGGACGTGCTCGCTTGACGCGATTGTCGCCGATGATCATCCCAAACCTTTCGTCCCACGACCTCTGCAGCAGAGCACTCATTGTCGTCCCCTCGTCCGTCGATTGTGCCGCCTGGCGTAGTCGATCCACAGGGAGTCGATCCACCTGTCCTCGTCCTCGACGCGACCACACCTGTTGTGCCCACTGCCCGCCGCCTTGGCGAAAAGAGTCCACGTTCGTCGCCCGACTGACCAGAACACCAGGCGCGGTTATCTGGAAGGCCCAACGCCCTCACCGAAGGCGGTGTGTGGTTGGTGTCGGAAGCTGGGTTCACGAGAACGGTGTGCGTCACGTCCTCGGCACTCCCAGACCTCCGACGGAAGCTAAGATCTACGAGTTCTGCATCATAACCAACCAGGGTCCGCCCCTCCAGCAGATTAGTGTACGTCGGCGTCGATGCCTATCTGTACAGCTGACTCCCCATCCAATCCTGCGTAGAACCGCTGCCCAAAGGAACCGTTGAGGATCGAGGGTCGTCGCCCTCCTCGTCACTCGGAGGCAACGGAATCTCGTTAGACGGCAGGTGGCTGTACAGCGTTAGGTCATACGGTCGCCTGCCGCCTTCCGCACTGCTGCAATGCTGATGTGATGACCCCCCAACCCGTACGGACAACGTGGTCTTCGTCTGTGGCTTCTCCATCTTTCTGCCCCTCTTCGACGTTCGTCGCGTCTGTTTCCTCCCAGGGACGCGACCGAAGAAGCAGATATGAAAGACGACAACGGCAAGCAGCAGCACAGCGATGAGCAGCAGCAAAGGCAGCCTGCGCTACAGGTCAGCCATGAACGACAGGGAAGCCAAGACAGAACACGCACTTGCGCTGTCGCAATCGTGGCGACCGGAGACACACGTTGCGGGAGAGAAGGCGCCAACGTACGAAATTGCTGCAAGCACCGGCCGGGGGAGGACGCTTACAAAATCCGTATTTTCGACCGTTGGGAACCCCGCGGGAATGCTAGGACCCCTCCAGGAGCTGTCCGAAGACGTCCGAGAACGTCCGATGCTCGCCACGGCACCACCGTGGGGCCGCCCAACGAAATGACAGGGCTGTACCGCCAATCACCGCCAACGGTAAAACGACGAGGCCGTTGGTGGACGTTTTGGATGAGGACGGCCCGCGATGTGCGTCTTCTGGCCGGTGGACCACCACTGGACCACCTTCGAACACCATTCTCCCTTCTGGACTCGCCGCCGACACCCCGATAATCGCAAATCCTCGGGCTCCAAAGGACCTCGCGAGGTCCCTTTGAGCGGAGAACGATTTGGCTGGGAAATCCTCGGAGCCCAAGGATTTGTCCTCGGAGTGTTTTCACATTTCTGTTCTGAAAATCGGCTCCGAGGACAGGTGGAACGAGGACGGAATTCTCGGAATCGCGTCCCCGAGGACTATCGAACGACGCCCTTAGGGCCTCGCCACACCTACCTCGAAAATCGATTTTTTTTGGAGAGCACTCTCGAATGTCGGAATTGGAGAAAACCGGTTCGAGAGGGGTCATCGCCACATTGCACTCGGGAAGAGGCACTCTCCACTGTTTCAGAAGAACCCAGTGATTTTTCCTGAGTTTTCACGAGGCCGCAGACGATTGTGGGTCGCGGCACACTCTCCATTTTCGGGTCGAAATCGGGTTCGCCTTGGACCGCTCTCCAAAAGGGCCACTTTGCAGGCTGGGTCTCTCGAAAAGTTCGTAACCACTCCTCAAACTCGCGTCCAGGCCGCTCTCCAAATTTTTTCTGACACCTATTTTGTAGAGTTGGTATGGCGATGCTTCTCCTCTCCAAATCGGTGGTTTTGGGATAGGTGTGGCGAGGCCCTTAGGCTGTGCCTCAGTGGAAATGTATCACCTTTTTTTCGTTTTTGAGAGTCATTTGTCAAGGAAACCTTGACCCGGTCCTTAAGAGTCAAATCAGGGTAATGGTCCCCGGAACTTTTCACCGGGTTGTTTTGTGAGGGATTCCCGGCTCTCCTTGGGCTTTTCTAATAATATAATTTGGTGTTTTTTCTCCAAAAAAAAAAAAAAAAAAAAAAAAAAAGGACCACTAAATCCCCCTATCAGCATTTGCCCTATTCTACCCCTCAGCGTTGGCTTCCCTTTTCGAGGGCCCTCATTTCACAGCATTTCATTGAGCGGTTTCAGACCGATCAGCACTGGTCTTTTCATCCGCCAGTCGTTTTATTTTCTTCAGGATTCTTTCACCACTCTCGATCTTCATCATCAACGGTTTGCAACAGTTTTGGATGCTTCTGGTTCCCTACCGGCTCACTGGCCATCCACATCTACGGAGGTTCTACGTTTGACTCTGCATCTACGATAGGCTTTGAGGCTTTCGTGTGGACTCACCCGGGATGCAGCAGACTCTCGTTGACTCTCCCTCCGCTGCTTCCAGGAGCTGCCACTGTATAAGTGAGGGAGGCAGGACGGTCGCTACAGGTTGAGATGATTCGCGCTGTGCTCCCTCCGGTGTGTGCCCCCCAGCTGCAGCGCCCATAGCGTATACAAATCTGCAAGTCACGTCACGCCAGCAAGCCAGGTCATTTGGATGAGTGGTCGTTTTCACTCGCCAATTTTGGCCAGGGGCTGAGAGTGTTTCACTCTGCAGCCCGCGGACCAGATTCACTCCTTTCCTCCGGTTTTCACTTCTAAGATAACTCACCTCCCAAGCCTTTCGTTCCACTCGCTGTCCCACTTTTCCTCCAAACTCTGTCTCTCGGCACCACTCTGTCCAACTCACAGGTCTCTAAACAACCCCGCGCCTCGGTACCTCCAGTGGTCAGTCTCTCGACGTCGGTCCTTGCGTCAGTCACAGGAGGTTGGTCCCAGCGTCTCTTACGGTCAGTCAGAACTCCACCTGCCTACTTAAGTCCGGTAAGCGAGCTCTTTTCCTACAGTAAAAATGATGAATGACGAAAGCAGATCTGGTAGTCCATTTCTGTCCGCTATGCCCCCTTCACCTCCACCCATCGCCTCTCCCTCCATTTCTTTCTCAAATCAACCTCGATCATCCTCTCCCTCACCTCGCTCAGCCTCCCCCTCCCTCTCCTACCATTCCCCTCCCCCTGGCCATCGACCTCTCTACGATCTCTTTCTCAAGCATCACTTTCCTGTTCATCTACTCCTCGAATCTTCATCTCCACCCTCACCGCAAAACCTCATCTCCTTTTTCTCCTCCCTCATCACCGCACCTTGTCCGAGCACCTCTTCAAGCAGGTCACAACTGACCCCCAGCTAGAAAATTTCTTCGTCATCGACCCGCCTGCAGCCACTATCCTTCCTATGCATCTCTACCTACTTCCTCTCATCATTCCTACTTCTCTCATCCAAATTCACAGAAAGCAGGTTGAGCTCAAGTACGACACCCTCCTCAACCTAGACGACCTCATCAATTGCCTCTACGATGCTCGAAAGTTTACGTTCTTCAACAAGGACAAGTCTATTTACATTCTCAAGAGAGACTGTGTAGTCGAGCTTCTATCATACTCCTTCTTCTCTGTCACCCTCTTTGATCTCATCTCTATAGACTCTCAGAAGCTCTCCTCCCTCTCTCCCAGAGAACTTATCAGAGCTCGTCTTGATTTAGCAGATTTTCGGCAGATCAACGCGCATGAGATTGCCTCCAACTTCTACTGCTTTGCCATCTGCATCGCCAACCTCAACTCAAGATCGGCCTTCCCGTGGGTAAAGAGGGGACTTCTCACTTTGGCCGCCAATCTTCCGGCCATCGCGTCATCTTCATACCTCACTTTTCCAGTTTCGGACTTCTTTAAGGACTTCATCGCCTTCCTCGTCGACTCAGCAGTTCAGGATCTGCACCTCCAAGAATTCGTTGACTGGGGACCAGGGCCGTGGTTTCGTTTCCTGCAGAAGAACGCCTTCGGCAATTTTCCACACTTTGAGTATTTTCCAGTAGAGCCCGTACAATTCGTGGACGCATTCATCCCCGAGTACCCCTGTTTTGTCATCTCCTCCAACTACCAAGGTTGCAAGTCTTTCCATTTCCGAGATACTGAAGCAGAGCGCAATGAAGAGAGCAGCCAAGCAGCAGAGCCGAACCACATCCAGGAAGCGTAGAGCTCCAAAGACAGAAGTGGAAGAATCCTCTTCACCTGATTCCCCTTCGCCTCCGCAGCAAATCCCGCTTCCGCCGCTCTTTCTTGTCACCAAACCCCACTCCCCTCCTTCTCATAGAACCCCACCCTCCTCTCTTCTTACCCCTCCCTCTCACCCACCCAGAACCCCTAGGCAAAGAAGGAAGCCCAGAATCTGTCGTAATCTGGACTACCTAATCTTCGCTATCCTCGCCATCTTTTTTCTACTCCATCTTCTCACAATCTTCCTCCTCATCCCCTCAACCCCCCGCCATTATCTTCTCCCTTAGATCCTTGCCATCTGCCTCCCCTCACTCTTCGCTTTCGGATCTGGAATCCTGGTTCCGTAATTCTGCAACTTCGGTCAAAAAAAAAAAAAAAAAAAAAAAAAGGAAAAAGGGAGGGAGGAAAGGAGAAGAGAAGGGAACAAGGGTTGGGATGAATAAGGAGAGGGACGATGCAAGATTCGAGATCATCCGATCTCATATCAAGATCTTGCTGTTTTGGTTCGATCGTTCTTCAACATCTGCGTCTTGTATACCCTCTCTAACCTTCTCAACCTACCGAT